TCTATATTCTCCAATTAGTTTGGACGAAATCGACGGTATGAAAGAATACGCAGGAATCGATGAGGACTTTTGGACTGCGTTCAAGTATAAAAACTCTATTGCTCCCAAACATATGTTTGCTTCCAATGATCACGTGATTTTCAGCACCGATGAGATGTTTTCAGGCGATAGTTTGTCGGTCGCTGGCGCAGGACAAGACTGCTTGTTTTATGATAACACGGGGAATAAACTCGCAGTCGGAACCTGCGGCGAGTTAAAGAAAGCAATATGCGTTCCGAAATACTACACAGATTTTTGCGACAACAAAGCAAATTTTCCGACGTATGAGGAGCTGATACAGGAAGGCAGTTCAGCAACCGCTGAAAAGTTTTTATCTGAACGAGCTTGCAACCTACGGAGTTCGGAAACTGTGAATCTTGATGATGCTTCTCAATCGGGGTACTTTAGTCCTTCACAGACTGAGGAGTTAAAGAGAGTTGCTGGGATCGCTAAACCAGAAAGAAATCCGTCGTCTCCTTTCTTTTACTCAACTGTCGATGGCAGCGGCAATAGCGTCTGCTATGCGGTGGTGAGTAAGAACGATAAAATTTCAAAAAGCTAGAAAAAAAGGAAGTTAACTGAATAAATCAAGTAGCCAGGCCGGAAATAAATGTTTGAATTTACAAACAAGTTAATATACATACTTCATGGGCAACATATTCTATGTTTACTGGTATACTACTTGCACAATGTAAAATTCAAAATGAGACCATTGCTAAATGTTATAGCATTGTTCTGCAACTTGCTCAGAGTAAAGTTAAAAATAAAACCATTAAAAAAAAAACATCAGTGCTCCCTCGAAACTACGAGAAATAATCATCTTAGTTGCAGGAGTAAGAAAAAAATCGTCAACTTAGATTGATTTTAGAAGAAAACTTCGAACAAGTCATTTGCACCTTGTGTATAGTTATGTGAAATTTTTTAAGCTGTCTGTTTTTTGTTATTTTGGGATGGGTTAGCCGTTAGCGAAGTTTCTAATCCGTGGAAACTATTAAAAAAGTTTACGAGCTCTATACGTATTTCATTTTTTTGCTATTTCAGTTCTATATTAGAAAGAAGGTTCTACAGTTCTACAGCAGTTCCTATATCCGAGATTGATTTAAATAATGTTTGGAAAATCTTAGAAATCCTACCAATTTCGAAGTTCTGTTGTATACAGTTGACACGTGGTATTGAAATTTCAATCAATAATCTGTATGTAAATCTAAATATTTTACCCAATCCACCTCCGTTATTGTGTATCTATCACTTACGACTTTGTTTTTTGTGCGATTTGCATTGAATTTCACAAAATAAGTTTTCGAAATTATTAGACTGACTTTGATATTGACTTTTAACAAAGGGGAAACTTTTGAAAGCACTTCGTTCTCTGAAACTTTGGTTACTGCTTCGATTAAACTGTTACCCAGCTATCATCTGCACACAGACCCACAAATGCATTTGGTTTCGAAAAACAACTCGTCAGATCATTAATTTTTAGTAAAAAAAGTAGAGGACCCAAAATTGAACCCTGCGGAACCCCTGCCGATATATGTGAAGTCTTAGAAGTTTTCTTCCCGATAGCAACGAATTGTTTACGTTTACTGAGATAAGAATTAATTAGGTCGCAAACAACTCCCCTGATGCCATACAGTTAAGCTTATATACCAGTATTTTGCTTTACAAAAGCTTTGCTCAAGTCTTAAAAAATGCTGCAAACTTTATAACCTTCATCAATTTTTTTCTTTATGGACTCTGTCAATTTTAGAAATACTTATACTGATGAATAGTTTTATTTAAACCCAAACATGGAATTGCATCAGATTTTGTTCTTATCAACAAAACATGTTATTCTGAGGCATTTTGATTTCTCTAGTACTTTACTAAGGGCAGTCAGAAGAGATACTGGACGGTTTTTAGATGTCTTTAACTTATCACCAGTCTAATGAATTGGAACAATTTTTGCAATTTCGAAAAAAAGCTAGGAAACAACCTTCGCTAGAGCATTTATTGAAAAGAAACGATAAATATTCCGATAGTACGGGAGATGAAAGTTTCAAAAATACGTTGTTGATTCCGTCATCACGTTCAGCGGTTGAGTAATTCAATGATTTATTTGTTTTAAAAAATTCTGGCTGAGTTTTCTACAGGGAAAAGAACATGGCATTCGTTATTTCTGGCAAATTGGTTGAAAACGAAATATTTTCTTTCTTTATGTTCATATTTTTTCCTATGCTTAAAAAGTATTCGTTAGTTTGTTCTACATTTAACTAACAATCTTTGTTTTTCAGTCTCTCAGTCTCCTAACATATTTGAAGAACTCTTTTTGTTTTTGTCATTAACTAATCTATCAATTTTAACACACTGATATGCTTTTTGAGTATCCGCTATTAATTTGTTGTCTGATTTTGAACGCTCTTGTAGCGTTCATTGCCAGCCCCAAGCTTGGAACGCATGAAAATTTTACGCGTTTCATGACTTTTGCGAACGAACAAGGTTTTTTCTCCGGTTATTAAACCAGGGATTTTGGGAAAACTTAGGTTTTGCTATATATTTTCCGTAAAGGAAAAACTTATTGATGATGGCTTGCAATTCTGCTGTTGTTGAATTATTTAGATAATCTGTATTGTTACGATTCCAATCAGTTTTATGCAAACGATCCTTCATTTTGTAGAAAAATTTGCAGACTGTATCATGATCCGAAATTTTCTGAAGATCCCTACGCCAGAAAAAGAAGGTATGTTTTTGAAGGCACTGGAACTAAACTGGTGACATGTGAAAGCAGTTGCTGATCAGTTATATCACAAAGTAATATATGATTGTTTTCAATGGTCAAAATACGATTAGTTTTAACATGGTCAATGCAATTCTCTCCAGTTTCCTTCATTCCTGTCGAAACATTTGTCTTAGTTAAGAAAACCCATGTGGTTGGCTCAAATAAGTTGGATGAAACTGCCCGTTGATTTGTTTTCAATTTTTGTGTCGATATTGAAATCTCCCACAATATAATGGCGTCTTCTTTTGTAGGATACTTTTTTAGGAACGTTATCATAATCATGCATAAGATTAGTGCTTTGATCGGAGACTTATAAATTGCAGCAACCGAGGCATTTATGTCTTTTTGTCTAATGTTCGGGAAGATAATTTCAAAACACACATCAAAGTCTAAGTTGATTTCAATTACATCTACGTAAATTTTGACAACAATTGCTACACCGCATACTGTGTTTTTGAATGGTGATGCAAAGAATTAATGATAGCTAACAACTTCAAAATATTCAGCTTAATTTGTTTGTCAAATTTCAATCAAAACAATTACTGTCGGGTTAAGATTATTTGATTGCAAAAAAAAGAAAGAGCGTCAACATTTTTGGAAAGAAATCTGATGTTAAGAGAGAAAATTTCAAACTTATTTTTAACGTTCAATGATTTTTTCTCACTTTTTATTAGAAAAATAAACCGTCTGCAAAAAGCCGCGATGTTACCTTGAAAAAGTTTATTATTGTCCATGTTAGATATTCTTTACAGTTTACTGATTTTCCTTCAGGAGTGTAGCACGTAGACGAATTACAATGACCACGTTTTCTATCAGTGTTAAAGCGTTGAGAAATTTCATCATTAGTGCTGGATACACATGCTCCATTAATTGCTGAATTGACACCAGGTACGCTTGATTGCCGATTCTGCATTTTAACAGCAACCTTTTGAAGCTGCTCAATATTTTTTTTATGAATAAACAGACCAAAATGTAACCCCACCATTTTCATTCGGCACTATAAGCTGCGCTTCGCAATTCTTAGTCACAGTTTGATACCCATTTTTCTAGCTAGATTGAGTAAATCACGGTTGTGGGGATGGAGACGTTCAGTGAAAATATTTCTTCGTTGTTTTTCAGGTTGAATAACTATCTCTTGGATCTCCACGTGAAATTTTTGATGGGAGGAAACAAAGTTAACGACTATCGAGGAATAGTTCGCTTTACCCAGATAATGACAGGCTTTAATATCGGTAGGGTTGAGATCCGACTAAAGGTTTTCGCCTTTCATTTCTGGAGGATTTTTTACAACGGTTGTTTCTTTGCTATTGCACATTTCTGTTTTTAACACAAAAAGTTTTTCAAAGACTCAATTTCTTTACAAAAATAGACCAAGTTTTGATTATGAATTTTATCCATTTGCGAAACATAATTTTCAAGATACGCAAGTCTTTTTTCGTTTTCAATTAATTTGGAGTGTAAAGAATCGATCTCACTTTGCAAGTTTTTCATTGGGCCTACCATCATGCTTGATCCTTGAAGGTGTCCAAACAATCCATTATATCCACGATATCCACGCTCATACTCACAATAAGCAATGTTTGTAACTTAACTGACAATCACACGATAAACGGCAAGAAAATGTTTCAATTTTTGGCCTTTATTTGCAGACAGAATTTTTCTAGAAGGTCATTGAAAGAGAGAGTCTGTTTTTCACTTGAATTCATCTGTTTTCTACTTGCTTTAGACAATTGTGTCAAATCACAAGGAATGAAGTCACCATCGAGAAATCTGGCATAACTGAACGCAAAATATATTATAAGCAATTGCAAAAACATCTCAAACTTAGGCATTATTTTTATTTAAGTGTATGTTACAGCGTCCCAATTACTTTGAGAATCACAAGCAGTTTGTCTAGTAAAGAAGGTTTTAAAAAATAGGGCTTTAAAATTTTTTTTTATTTTGGTAGTTTTAGAGAGAAAAGAATTCTCATGATTTGAAATTTTGATGCAGCTCATTTTCGATATTTTTTCATAGCAAACATTTGACGATTTATGAATTACTCATCAATCGCAGCTTACGTAGCCATAATATTTAGCCATACAATAATATTTAGCCATACACTGGATCAAATGAGGATTGTAATAAGCTACGCGAGTCTGGATTCGACCTGTTTCACCTCTGCAGCACATCAATTTTCACCAGTGACCAGCTGGTTCGCCTCTCGGACGCTGAGTCATACTGCTCGTTTCACTCGGGTTTTCTCGTCTCGGAAGGCGACCTCAACCAATGGCTGACAACTAAATTTTCTCGCGAGAACAGCCCGACTTGTGACTGGTCGCTGGTTAAGATATCTGGTCCTGGAGATGGTTTGTAGTTCTAGTTAACTTGTTAACTTGAGGTATTCATCTAAACGGTGGATCTAGGATATGCCTTAATGGTGGAAGGAAAAAGGGGAGGGGCGAGGGATAGTGGCGGATATTTTCTGAAAGACTTTAGATTATTTGCAGTTTTTCTTTCGGTTGATCAAAATGGTATTCAAAACAACCCGAAATACTAAAAAGACCCCAACTGAAGAAAAAATCCTACTCCGCCGTGAATTTTACAATATAGCACCTAAATGTCGCGTTGGCGCGACTGAGGCGGTGAGTATGTTGTGAGTTGTCTTTCAATTCGAGTTGTCGCATTGCAAAAATTTTCATCCAAAATCCAGGAGTTTTATTTGACCACTAATGCAGTCAAAAGTTTTTCTTTTTCTTTATTTGTTTCAAAAGACATAATTTTAGACACAGTGGCAGTAATCAATGCAGACGACTCTTCCTACAATCTCTATACCGTCGCAGACTCAATTGGAAACAATTTCTGTAAGTTATGATAAACAGACTTTGCCACCATTTCTTAAAGCTCTTCTAATCTCAGATTTTATCTTTTTTTCCTTTTGACACAGTTAGGTTAAGAATTTTGACCTGGTTGAAACTTATAACAAACAGAGTCCTGGAAAGGCTCGGTTCAGTGTGGTATTTATGGTGATCGGATTATCGTTCCGACCATTGAAAATGGGGAGGAACGAGTATTTCGTTGGGAAAAATGGGAAAACTTGGAAAATGGGAAAATGGGAAAATCATTGCTTTTTGTTTTCAGATTCTGACCATTTCGATACAGCTTACTGTGTAAGTTCCGCAACGGATTCGCCCTTCGCTTGAAAGGAAAATATGAACCGGACAAACTGCCCGCGGCCAAGATAACCCGGAAACAGCTGGAGCGATAACATTGAGCTTATTAGTTCACGCGGCCTTTTGGTTTTCTGTGATTGCATCATTAATTGGCTTTGGTTTGCGCTACAAGCAGCTATTTTTTTTAAAAAAGTGCCATTGTAGTTATTGCCACGCAAATATTTGGCCTCTCTCAAAAGCCATGTTCCTGGAAATCACATAAACATCTTGGCGAAAGAAGCGCTATATTTAAAGTTATTCAAAAAGTTTCATCTGCCTTATTTTTTCTTATTTCAACATGTGTAGCTATTTGCGTTTTTTACCTATCCCTCCGAGATCAGATATTTATTGGATCCATGAATTTTAACATAGAAAAATTAGAAACCCGGGCCAGGTTTTTGATTTTTTTGACCGAAATTGGGTATGTTTTTAATTTGTGCTGGCTTTAAAATTGCCTCTCGACCGCTGAATTTAATTCGCAAAACGCCCCCTGCTAGACTTTTAAAGTCAAAACATAAGTCGAACACATCGGCCAAAAAAAAAAAAAAAGAGTTCTCAGCACCAGCGGATTAAGGGGGGAGTGGGCGGACGCTTCTTTTTCTCAGGATTTCGACCCCCTGCCGACCCAAAGGGTTTCCCTTTGTACTACTTTGAGATATCAAATTTTGGTGACGGGCCCTAAAATTTTCCTAAAGGCGCCATGGGCGCCAACATATACTAATTTTGAGAAGAGGGGAGTGCGCGCCAAAAAAAAACGCGATTTTCGACTTTTTGGTCAAAATTTTCCTTAAAAAAATTTCTAAAAACGCCTTTTTTTGGCCTGTTTTTTTTCAAAATTTTGCCTGCGGCGAAGTATTTATAGTGATTATAGTGACTTAAGAGTATTTATAGAGATTTAAGAGAACTCAGAAAATCAATATAATCGACCTAAAATTAAGATCAACAAAATTTTCGAAATTTTTTGAAAATCCGCCACTTCCTCGAGAAAATCCTAGATCCGACTCTGGTTCTCAGCATTGCCTATGTTTTTAGTTCAGTTTTGGCAGTTTTTGAATATCTAAGCTAATATGGTCTTCTATTTGACAATTAGTGTGCAACACTCTTTCAGCGAATTTTTATTGCGTTTTACTATCATGACATGCAAGTTTTCTTGCGCAATCACCTTGCGGCTCTAATTTTATCCTTTCAATTCAAATTTTCAACTCCACTTGTTTTTGATGACGAGGTATAATTTGTGATTTTGCTGACTCAAAAAATTTGATACTAAACGTGTCGCTTAGCACGTGATAAAAAATGTATTTTACCCGCACAGGAGTTTTTTAGATTTTAAACTATTATAATTGTTTTTCATCACCAGTCTCTTGTTAATTCAAAAACAGTGATATGGAATTGATTAGAATAGGATTAGAATTTTTTTTGTCAAATCAATAAAGTCCGTTTTAATAGTTTATAAACAATTATAATGGATTTTGATCACCTTTTCCAAAATCAGCTTAATTTTTTTTTTAGAAATTGACAGTTGGTTTTTGCTTTACACACGTTGCATTAGATAAAATGGTTTTATTTAGCTGAATAAACTGTTACCTTTGTTTTTCAATTTTTCTCTTCGCAATTCTTTGTATGCATATTTTGCTGACCTTCTTATTTGCCCTCCTTTTTTTGCTGACCTCTCTTCACCCTCCTTAATCTAATTTGCGTCCCTTCCTCTCTCCAGCCTATGACCCCTTCCTCGCTTTTATTAAAACCCCCCGCTCAACCCGCCCCCACCCCGACACATTACCCCGGCCACTCTTTTACCCACTCTAAAAATGGGATCAGCTAGGGGTGGGTTCAATAGGGGTTGAACAGGGGGAGAACGTGGGGTAGGGGATGGGGCTGTGGGTTGAGAGGGGTGGGAGGTTGTGGTGTGGTAAGAGGACTTGTGGAGTGGGGGCAGATGGTGAAAGTTGAGTGATGTACACGGAGATGGTAACTTCCCCCTTTGACTAATTTTTTTCACATGGCTCACGAAAAAGTGTTTCTCGATTTTTGAGTGCAACTGTTGCATGAAATGTATGCCATTTGGGAAATTTTTTATTTTTATGCCAATTGGGGCTTAGGCCATTTGAGACGTAATCCATGGAGATTAACGTGTTCGTTCAGTCTTCATTTTTGTTCAAACCTTTCACCTTTACAAAAAAATCATTGTTTATGGAAATGGGTCTGATAAATTAATTGTCTGATATCTTTTGCTGATATAGTACCTTCAAATCACTCTTTCCAAAGAAACTCGAAATTGTGGCAACTGACTTTTTAAAAAGTGCCTCCTAGAATCAAAATATTTCTAAGCAACTGCTATTTCATATACCATTTTAAGCGTTGAAAATCAATTATGTTATCATTTCGAAGCCATTATTTCTAAAATAGAGGGGAAAAAATCTTTCATTTTTTATAAAACAAATTTAATCTCCCTTTTTATGAAAAATTTTGCAAAGCCATTAAAATTTAATCAATGATAAATGATTATTACTTCTTTGTTTTCAAAAATATTTGAACCAATTCGAAAGCGTGGCAAACCGGTTTAGAAATTTTCAAAAGTATTAAAATATACTGCTTATTGACATCTATTTTAAATTAATTATGAAGCACAGGTTTAGTAATTTGCCCATCAAAATGTAAGCAACGTGATTCAGTTTGATAATGAATTCTTTTTCAATTACCGCTGGATCTTTGTGAGAAATTGTCTTTTAAACTTTTGTTTCAGATAATGGGTTACTTATGCAAAAAGAAAGGTTATATTATAATTTTACATGGAAAACTAGTCGTAGTAAATAAAATCAAAAAAATTATAGGCCTTTTAAAATACTGAAAAATGTTATGAAAAATTTATTTCACACAAAAAGCGTAGTTTATTGTTCCGACTCTCGTAACGAAGTAACAGAATATTTGTTCTCAGGGTGCGTTTTTTTCAGACAAATTTCGACTTTTTAACCAGTCATTTTTGACGGAGTATTCTTTCTCCTATCATTTGAAAGGTATTGTTGTCCTGATCTTTAATTTGAAAAGATATTTCACCTGTGATCATTTTTTGTAAAGTTATGAGGGTTTAAAGATTGTCATTTTGGCCAATTAGGGACAATTAACGCGCGATATATTTCGCGCTTTTAACGCGTAAGCGGAGACTTAATCCGTCTTAAAATCGTTCCAAATTGGTTTAAGGAAGAAGCTTATATGCCATGATTGATTTGTTAATAGGAGCATTGCTCCAGCATTTAAAGCAGTTTTACTCACGACGAGTTTTTACAGAAACGTACATAGATTTTGCTGAGTAATATAATTAATTACATTACCAAATGTTACGAAATATAGGCCAACGTCAGATAAAAATTTATAAATGCATGTAGAAACATTTCATTGATCAAAATTAAAGCCATAAAAACTTGTCGAAATTTTTTATTCTCTCTTCTTTCAAGCCTCGCTGAGATGTCAGCATGTACTAGTCGCAAACAATAATTGTAGGTTGTTGGGCGAAACTAGAAACTGAGATCTGAGAGAAACATTTCTGGTTTTGTGACCCAGTGGGCAGTTGGAATTTTTCATTTTATTTTGTAATACTTATATCTGATAAAGCGTTGAACTGTTGATGGCTCAGCAATGATTCGGCATTATCCTTATTCTGCAATAGAAAATTACTTACTCTCTTCTCTGATCAAAGAAAAAAATGCTCCGACCAGCGACCGATACGTTACTGGAGTTCCACATTTTTTTTTGCATATTAATTTTATGAAGGAGGTAAATTATCTGATAAAATCACCTAGCAACTAATCAATTAGACTTTTGCACTTTGATTATTTAGTTTTAAGTTTGACCAATTTGATAATTTTTTTCCAAACAATTACAAAACTTAGGAAAGCAAAAGTAAACCTGGTTCATTTTTTTCGGTCAAGTATTCCTAGCAACTAATCAATTAGGCTATTGCACTTTGATCATTTAGTTTTAGTTTTGATCAAATTCATAATTCTTTGCGAAACAATTACAAAACTTAAGAGAGCAAAGGGAAACCTGGTTCATTTTTTTGGTCAATTATTTCCTAAATGGTGTCCTACAATTTAATGACATACAATTTAACACCGTACATTTTAACAATTAGTCATTTCACTACTAAACAATTTAAATCGACAACAATATAACTCCTATTTTCCAGTTTAACACAGTGGATTTTATTACCTAGTCATTTCACTATTAAAATTAATGCTTACGAATTCCTTAACTTATGAATTCCTTATGAAAATCTTAACTCTTATCACACCAAAGTTAATCCTGCAATTAACACGCGCACCACAATAAGAAATTCGGTTTATCTTAGTTATACATACTAAAAGGAGGCTTTCTAATTTACTTAAGACTCTTATCTACAAGTTTGTAATTTATTTTCAATTTAGACTTTTCGCTAAACCATTATGATTACTAAAAAAAACTGCTTGTGCTAATTCATAACAATTTGACGTAAAAGTTCTGACAAAAATTAAATTATGGCAGCCACTTTATACTTTACTCAAGTGATAAACACAATAAACAAATTATGATTGAGTCTTCTTTCAAGTTCATAGTTTCATCTAAAAACAAGCCAACTCTTATAGCGTCCGGCCATGAATTTTTTTTCAAGCGAAAAAATAAGTTCACAGAAAATTGGATTTGCTCAAAATATCAAACACATAAATGTCGAGCAACTGCCATTACTGAAAATAACGAATTAATCGAGACGCGTGGAGAGCATAACAACGACATTTCAGCTGGAAAATTGGAGGCCCGAAATGTCATAGTGCATATAAAAGATCTCAGCGAGAGATTTACCCAGACTGTTGCAATGCCAGTGCGGTTTTGCCAATTACAAACGATTTGGCCACTCAGTTTGTCCTACCAAGTAAAAAGAAACTGATCAGAACGGCTGCGCGCGCTCGTAAGCAGCTGGATGTAAATATGCCGCCCATCGCCGTTGCGCGAAATTCCGAGATCCCTGAAATTTTTGAAAATTTTATCCGGTATGACAGTTGATCAAATGATCATGAGCGAATCATTTTGCGATCCCAAAATGCTGAGAGTTCTGGAGAAGTCAACTTTCTGGTAAGCTGATGGAACATTTAAAATTACTCAAAAAATGTTCTATCAGCTATATTCACTTCATGTGAGTCTATCTGGCATTGCGCCAGCTTGCATTTACGCCTTCCTTCCTAACAAAACCGAAAATACCTACAATCGCTTCTTGCAGGCGTTAAATAATTTAGCACCCAACTGCCGGCCTGAAAAAATTTTGTTTGATTTTGAGCAAGCT